AGGCACGGCTGTATGGAGGCAGTTTTGTGTAAAGGCAGCTCCCCCGGGCCTGGCACCCTCTCCCGCCGGGCTGCAAGGGCAGGCAGCTCCCCTACCCCGAGGGCTGCTGCTGGAGCTCTTTTTTTCCTCTCCGCCAGCCCAGGCGGGCTGGGACGCAGGGCTCGTGGTAGCCCCAAGCAAGGTGGGTGACTGTGGCAGCAGCAGCGGCTCGCCACTGTGGCTCTGTGTGCACGGTGCCTGGGTGGGCGGCTCATGGCTCAGCCTAACAGAGGACCTCTACGAGGTTGCTGCTACGGGCTTCCCCTTGGTGCTGGCTTCCTCTAAATTTGGTAGTACACGTGTCTGCACAGAGCTGGAGGCTCAGGGCTTTATGCCCTTCTTTCAGAGGCTCACTTGGAGACTGTTTGTGCTTAGACTTAACACTGGAAGAACGGTTTTGTTTCTTTTTGGATTTTAAATCTAAATTACAGAAAGGGTGAAATGCTGTGACTGAGCTGGCAAAGGCCCTGACCGTGCAATAAATCTGCAAGCATGGGCCTGGCTTTTGCACAGGGGTCTGTGCAAGTGCCAAGGTCTCTGCTAATAAATCTGACTGGAGGACCAGGAGGAAACTTTTTTTAACTTACTGCTAACAGCAGGCTCTTTTTTAACCATCATTTTTTCCCCCTCTCCCTTCTGCTGATTCATGCTCCTGCTTGCTTCGCCACGGGGAGATGCCAGCATTCCTGAAGGTCATCACTTGCATTCAGCAGCTCACACTGCAAAGTGTTTGCCAGCATCTACCAAATCAAAATGCTAAAATGACTATGATCATTTATATTTTCACTGTCAGTGATGGAAAATCTTACAGCTTGCCAGCCTCATAGCTGCCACGTTTCCAGTCTGCTAGACTAGCAGAAGGTAAAGGAGGTGCATGAAAGGTAATGCCTCCCAACCAACCCGACACCGGGTCATCTCAGTGGCATGCCAGCCTGAGGACTTTCACCTGGGCTCACCTATAGGCAGTCCTCTTAGAGATTTGGAAAACCTAGGGTCCAAGCATGCACCCCTCTGACATACCAGTCTGTCTCTCAGAGAAACATGCAAGACATCGGGAAATGAGATGCTTCTGCTCACATCGGGTTTCATGCGGGAGTCACGCCGCTGCCTGCAGCCCCCGGGGTTCCTGGGGAAGTAGGGCTGTGCTTCCCTCACTGGCACCTCCCTCCCCTTCTGTGTCTCTCCTCCCCAGTGTGTTGAAGACTTTATGCTGTCCTGGGCTGCAGAAAAGAGGCAGAACTGAAAGGCATGCTAGCAGCATGCAAACATCTCTAAGAAAATAAGAGTAATGTTTTAGTTTTCAAGGCGTGTCTCCTGCTTAATGGCAAAGGAATATTTCTGGTTTAGATCAAGCAATAATAGCACAATATTCCTCTTTCAGGAAAGCTGTGGGGAAGACACAGTGAAATCCCTCCTTTGCTTCTTCAGGTTCTTTAGTGAGTATTTATACTGTGGCAGTACCCAAAAGTCTTGCAAAAGAGCAAGTCCTTGACTAAAACTACGGGAAGACACAGTGTTATACGCTGCGTGGTAGATTTAGGAACCGTCGGTTACTTTAATGTCCATCTCTCTAGAGGTGACTGCTAATCTTATCCTTTCCTTTAAGCATTTGTAACATAAGGATGACACATATCTCTCATACGCTACCGTACGCCTCTGTTTCTTTTGCTAGTATTTTAAGTGGGACTTGAAAATGCAGAGCTGGAAACAGACCCCTCCTGCCGGTGCTGCGGAGCAAGGCTCCCAGCCAGGGCCAGTTTGTACGCACAAGTCCTCCTTGGCCTCCCCAGCTCAGAGAGCTTCTTCCTCCCTCGACGAGGGAGGATGCCTGACCTGGAAGGCGCCCGCAGTTCCTAAGACATTTTACAAATGGCCTGCTCAATCCTTCTTGAAAGAAAATCGGTGTCAAAGCGAACTGACGGCACAAACAGGGCATGTGTATTTGCCTCCTTAAAGTGCGAAACATGAACAAGCAGAAACACAAAATCTCAGAGCAAGATTGACACTCTTCTTTTGCCATGGTTCCTTGCTCAGCAGCAGGGGAAAGTGCCACACAGCAGGGTTCTGTAACTCATCAAATCGATTAGTTTCTTTGTCTGCATCAGCTAGTGGGAGTAGTCTTTAGCTGAAGACAAATTAAAGAAACGTCCAGTAAGATATTCTATTTTGAGAGGAGCTGTCCTATTTTCTCACACTGACGACAGACTCAGAAATCTGTGCACAATTTAGCTCATTATTAGAACTAATTGGTGCCAGGCATTCCATCCTCTTTGATACGGCTAACCATGGGTATGAAATTTTCTGAGTTAATGAACCATAAAATGGATTAAGAACTTTCAAAGTGCAGTTCATATCACAGCTTAATTGGAAGGAGTATATTAGTTGGCTTTTTACGGATACAAAGGAAAGCCATGTTTTGGGGTGGAAAAGCACATGCACGGATGCCCTCCCTGCTGCTGGGGAGCTGGGAAATTTCTAATTTCGGTGCCACAGAGTAGTGTCATTTGATGGCAGGCACCTTCCACAAACGCTCCGCAGCACACTGTGCAGCCCGTGCAGCCGAGAAGGACAGAAACGGGCTTTTTTCTCTGCCTGCAGTACTTAGCATTCCTCCTGCGTACCGCCCTGCGGAGAGAAACCAATTAGTACAGCTCTCCCAGCAAGGTCAGGGGAGCTGCCAAGCAGATAAAGGGCCAGTCTGGGTGGCGTGGATCCTCCTGATGTGGCCGGCATGGCCGATGCCAGACTACCGTGCCCTAGCGTGCGGTCCCAGTGGTCCTATACCAATCTCATTCTAGTTGCTTTTTGGCGCCTGTTCGAAACTGGTCTGTAACCCCCCCCTTTTCTTACCCACTGGCTCAGAAAAATAAGGCAGTGTGATTTAGAAAATTTCCTTCTGGCAGTCATGGAGAAGGAGAACCCTTTGCAGGCGTCCCAGAGGCGGCACGTAGCATTGGGTCGCAGGATCCCAACGATAAACAGCTCGCTGCGATGATTTGGGACCGTAAGGCTACCAGGTGAAACAGAATATCCCATATATACACAAACACACCCCCCCTCTTACTGGTCAGCGCTGATTTGGCACCGTATAACGCTGATTAAATACTCCCTACTACCTTTTGTGATGTCAACATTTTCCTGAGCAGGCGTGGAAAAATCTGAAGCTTTTGTCCTTCGTAGACGTAACAGAGTATTTTTTCTTTCATTATCCAGACATTATGAACTTTTATGTTTCATCTGAGGATACAGCAGTACACCATTTCATGGTATTACAGAACTTTGGTAATTTAGGTAATCTGTAATTTAAACAAATGCCAAACAAACTGTGTACCCATTCAAAATACATTTGGAAGGATGTATCACTGGGTGAATCCAGTGGTTCTCCTCTTGTGTTGTGCAACCTCTAACCTCCCGAGAATTTCCAGGAAATGTCTAGATGCAGAAAGTGATGATTGATCCTGTTTTTATGTGCTCTCTTCTTCTGACATGGCCATCTGCAGACTGGTCCTCCTCAGATGCCAGAAATATCCTGCAAGCCACGGCATCAGTAATTGCATTGCTGTAAGTGCTCTGCACTGCTGCACTAATGAGTGCAAAGATTCCCAGGGTGCTTACGCAGACAGCTGACGGTGGAAATGGGAAGCAGAGTCGAAAT